GTGAAGACTTACAGAAAACGTTTGACCTCTGTCATTGCCAACAAAGGATATACAACAAAGTATTGAGATGAAATTTTGTTATTGACCAAATACTTACAGTATTTTCCACCATTATTTGCAAAAAAATTCTTTAAAAGTCAGACAAAATGATTTTCTCAAATTTTTTTTCACATTTTGTCTCTCATAGTTGAGGTCTACCTATGATGTCAATTACAGGCCTCTCTCATCTTTTTAAGTGGGAGAACTTGCACAATTGRTGACTGACTAAATACTTATTTTCCCCACTGTATAAGTACTATCAATAAGACCAGGGGAAAATAGATAATTTTGCATGATAGGCATAATTACTGATGCAGAAGTGCAGAATGATTCCTGTATTGTGACCAAATCTTAAGACTGGACTGCACCACAGGGTTTTTTGTATAAGGATAAGGGTTAAATGGAAGAGGAGAGGTCAGTAAAGCCTCCAATGAAGAGTTACACGATAGGTGCTCTAATTTGCACCATAAAAGTTCTTTTGATTGCATCTAGTAAGTCAATTTGTGAATGTGGGCAGACCAATAGTAAAATAAAAAGTTTGGCAAAGTTAGACCCCCATCAAATGTAAGTCTCTGTAACAGTGATTTTTTTCACTTTTATGGGGATGTTTCCCTCCCCATAATAAAACTGTGACCATCTGGTCTAATTTTTAAAAAAATACTTTAGGTAAAAATACAGGGATACACTGAAACAAAAATAGCAATCGAGGCAGAACATTCATCTTAACTGTATTAATCTGACCAATTAGGGACAAAGGCAGGGATCTCCATCTCTGAAAGTCTGATTGTATCTGAGTGATCAAGGGAGAGAAAATAGATGAATATAGAGTAGATAGAGAACGAGTTACATTTATTCCCAGGTATTTAAATCCTGCAGGGCAAAGTCTAAAAGGGATTTCAGACTGTTTAAGTGAGAGACTTAAGGAATTTATGGGGAAACATTCGCTCTTAAGAAGATTTGTTTTGTAGCCTGAAAAAGAGCCAAATCTCTTTAACAAGGATACAGTATGTGACTCCAGAAAAGCCATAATGGTGCCATCCCAGACCTGTGTACTAGATGTGGAGAAGAGAAGGGAACTTTCTTCCATTGTGTCTGGAAATGCAAGAAAGTTCAACAATTCTGGAGGGAGATTAAACAAGCTTTAGAGGCTATATTAGATATAAAACTAGCTTTGGACCCCAAATTGTTCATTCTAGGTTTGTATCCTGATAGACATTATATGTCAAGAAAAATAATTCCTGCCGTGGATTTATGTTTACTACTTGCAAAGAGAGTCATAGCACTTTCATGGAAAAGTACCATAAAACCGAAATTCACTACCTGGATTAAAGAAATGTCCACAACATTACCATTGGAAAAGATTACTTACATTATTAAAGAGAAACTATCATTATTTCAAAATATTTGGGGTCCTTTTATGCAATATATATTGAGCATGGTTGTGAGGGGTGGGGCGGATGAAGGATAGTTGGTCCCCTGCAGTGCAATGTTCTAAGACAATGTCTTTTATTTGTATGCTTGATTTCTTTGAAATATACATTAAAGTTTGTTTTTCTGAATCACAAAAATTACTAAAATGATTTGGGCTAACTCTTGAAAATAGGGAAACCGTTGTTACCATAATTGTTGTTTTCTTTTCTCAGGGTTGTCATGGGGTAGGGGGCTAAGGGAGTTGTTTTGCTTTTCTTATAAACTCTGCATGTAATAAGTGCTGCTCTAGGAGATCTCAATGTCTTGACTGGCAAAGAAAGGCAAGTTGAATGATGGACAATGATTTAACCACTCTTTTTCCTTTGATATGAGAGCACACTTATGTCCAGTACATTGTAGAAAGCATTGTTGTAAAACCAATAAAGATAATATTGGGGGAAAAAATTGCTCGTTCATGCTCATCACCTGTGATTGTAAAATGCTGGAGAGAGGAGACTGTAACTGAAAGTATGAAAATAAGTGAAAGCTCCATTTACTCCCCCTTATTTATCTTCTGTCTTTGCTTTTAGAAGTTTCTCTCCTGCTTTTTTCAGTTGTTTTGCTTTTCTTCTGTGAATCTTTGACTTGAATTTGAGCAGAACATATAAAAGCTGAAATGAGTGGTGGCATTAAACCAGACTTTGTCAGTTTTAGTTTGTTTTTGTTGCACTTCAGTAATGTTTCTTGTTTTTGTCATTACTAAAGACACCAAGCTGTATCATGTGAGCTGCCACTGTTTACAGGTGTACAGGATGTTCTTCACTCAGCAACACAAACCTGTGGTTTTATGTCAACACAAGCTTCACTTCCTGCTAAAGTTCAGATTAATTTTCAACTTGTGGTCAGGATGCTTTGTGCTGTTTGCACAAGCTTTCAGTATGTTTGTAGAGCCAATAAAACCTTGTTACAAGGTTTGATGATGTCAGTGAGCCTCCAGTCATCAGATTGTGGTTTACTCCATAAGTTCTCTGACATTTGATTGATTTTCTGCATGCAGGTGGAGAACTTGAAGGCCGTCCATCCAGACTATGGAAGCAGGGTTCAGGCCCTCCTCGACAAGTATAATGCAGAAGCTACGAAGGTAAAAAAAGAAAAACTGCTCCATAACGCCACAATGTGTAATAAAATCAGGCTTCAAACTATGATAAAACTGCATTATGTAAGAACTGATGTAAAATGTAACAAGTCTTCAACACGTTTTGTAATACTCTCAGCCTCATTATGTAATAACTAGGGGTGTAAGAAAATATCGATACACTGAAATATCGCAATATTTCATTTCCCGATACTGTATCGATATTCTAAAGCCCTGTATCGATTTTTTATTAAGGTTTAAAATGTCAACTTTCCTGCCAGC